GTTTTTTGCTAAGTGTGCACATACTTTTGAAACAAAGAAAAATTTTTTCTTTAATAAAAAATTATGTTAGCAGCTGCGACGTTTTCTCAGAGAAAGTGTTCGAAGGTTATAGCACACAAGGAATTCAATGGTAAAGATCACAGGTTACAGAAAGGTATCCCCAAAAAAACAAAATGTTGGGTGTGCACATATTTTTGAAACACCCTGTATTACCAGTATTTTGGGATGTCATGCTTACCGGTGTGGTGAGGACGAGTAACTTCTCGGGCTTAACTGGGCCATCGCTTCGGCTTACAACAACGTTGATAGTCTTCCCCACATCGATCATAGCGAACACTGGATTTACTCTGAAAAGGAGAATCGTTACAAAAATCTGAAGTTTCAGTTCAACAGGATATTTTGGCTGCGTCCATATGCAGTGCGTTCCGCTACTATGCCTCACTCCTCATTTTATCCAAAAGGGCAAATTGAAGCGCTGATCCAATTACGCGGCTATAGAAGAAGATAATATAACGCATGTTTTCAATAAGGTGAGCTCTCGAATTTTCCCCTAACTCATCCGATTTAAGATCTCGTTGTATGTTGTACGTCTACCCTGTGTGGAACCTTTTTCACAAAGTGAGTATGATAATAAAAGGGATTTTATCAGCAACAGACTACTCCGCACAGTCAGGACCACCATTTTCGAGCGTCAAAAGTTGAGAAAACCTGTCTGCAGCTATTCCGAAGTCTTCGAGAGACTTTGCCCAATTTGTATTCAGCGAGACTTAGAACAGAGCTACAGACAGGCCAGTTCATTTTCGGGCCAGAAAGCAGGCTTAATTTCCAACAGCATCTGATTTAAATTCGTTGTTGTGTATAGCTCTTCACTGGCCCCATGCTATCTTTGGATCCATGATTTTTTCAGTAACAGCAACTAACACTGGGGTTCCTTCCGATTTGAGTAGCCAATTGTCTGGTGTTGGTTCCGGAATTGACCATAAATAGGATTCAAAAAAGGTTTCTCATTGAAGCCTACGCGTTTAGTGGTGAATGGCACTGCATAAGCGGCGACCACTTTGGCTTGCGACCCGCTAAGTCGCTTTTGTCTCCCCTTTTGGGTGGACAGTCTTCAGTGAGGTTGTCGTGCGGATACCCTTCACCCAGAGCTGTTCCTCCAAATTAAGTGAAAGAAAAGTAAAGTCGCACCTGAATATAGCATTGTTGGAGCACTTTATTTTCATCGCCTGCTTCTCTTCCGTTGCATTTGTGACTTTAAGCACCTATAATATCCAAATTCATTGTTTTACTAGTGAACATGTGCATAGTGAACAGATGAAATTCGAGAGAAGTTGTAGCAATGATGATGGGAATTCTGACTGTTACTGGATCGAACCCCCCCAAACCAGGACCACGTCAGCAATTTTCGCGGTCTCTCGGAAACAATACAGAAGATATCTAAAAGTTTCTCAACACTGGTATCTTCAAGGAAAATTACTTAGACTAGGTCCAGAGAAGAATCGGTCACACCATTACCGTAAGAGTAAGCAGTCCTAGCTAGCCTCGTGGTAAGTTAGTGGGCGGACGCCAATAAGAATTGAATAAATGCCTTTCAGGGCTTTGATAGCTAACAGTGAGTACATTCCGTTTGATGAGGTTCTGCCCGTTGGACTTATCTCTTTTTTTGTTACCAATACTGCTCCAACAACGCCTACATGATCTCCAACCCATGAGAACATAACGGATTTGATCAACAGAATCGTTTATTGTCACCTACAGTATCATTTAAGAGGGATAGGGTGGAATTTAACTCCTATATGAATCTACATAAAGGAAATATACGGTTCGATTTCGACTCGATGATGTTGTTAACGGTATTCGTCGCAGTGGTGATGCGAATGATTCTGCGATTCTCACATGTGTGGCGAATTGCGGGAAAAACTTCGCCCTCAAACAGGACCTGAACCCGTACTTGTGCTTTAAGGGAGCCATGCCCTTTATCTCTCAGAATACCTAGACTCTCTTGTCCTCGCCTTCTCAATGGTTTATAAGACATAGCTTAACAGCCCCCACATGTGCAGTGGGATGAGCTGGTCATTTGACTGGAGCTTCGAGTCTTCCTTTTCGCTACTGTACTGGAGATTTAGAGTTGCTGCCCACATTATAAGTGCCATTTTAGTGTTTGCGTAATCTGGGCGAACTCTCGAACTTCCCAGACTATGTTGTCTTCCCAGTACTGAGCTCCATTGCTTACCAGAAGCGAACTCGCCTTAAAAAAGGGCTTCTCGTTAAACGATGAATCCCACTGTGATGACGATGAACATGGCTAGCCTGCCTTCTAATCACTAACTATGACAAGTTTGAACGCCTAAATACTCTTTCAAAGGCTCTGCGATCAATGGTTGAGCCGTGATAACATTTGCTTGCTTTTTCTGTCCTGTATGTAGTTGTGAGAAAGGTCCTGTTTTTGTTGTTTACAATTTTAACAAAAGTACGTTATCAAGGGTACCTGCTTCGACGCCTTTGGCTCCCATGCTAGGCTGCTAGGACTCAGCTTTATTCCCTCTGAAATTGAATGTCCTCTGCAATAACCATCCGGATTTGATATAAAACCTGATCCGGAAAATGTATTTGGAATTCAGAAAAAAATTTGCGTCGTCATTCTAGAAACTTACTTCTTCAGAGAATTCCGAGGAACCTTTGAGATGTCTCTGTACTCGCGAACTTAAAGGCACCGTTTACGATAAATTTAGGGTACCCTTTTTTGACGGGAATTCATAGAACTACTCTAGAATAAAGCGATAACAACGAAAAAAGCGCAAAAATTGATGAACAAAAAGAAATAGAGAGGGTCAAAAAAGAGCTGGAAAGGGGGGTTGGACAAGTTTCACATTGGAAGAACGGCGGTTAAGGGAGTGTTCGGGCGAGTGCAGGAAGGCGACGCAATGTCTGCAATGGCAGACAACATACCCAAGCAGACAACTTCGCCCAATGCGAAAGTGATGAACAGCAATTAGATTTCGTAGTCAGCCTAGCGAGGGGCGGAGGCCTCCCGTCCCCCACTGTTCCTGCCCTTATTGTGCCCTATCCAGACCGTTTTCCGACCTCATTCCTGCACAAATGGTATCACAGGGGGCGACGAATTCAAACCATGTGCAGATCTNCCTGATCCGGAAAATGTAGAATTCAGAAAAAAATTTGCGTCGTCATTCTAGAAACTTACTTCTTCAGAGAATTCCGAGGAACCTTTGAGCTGTCTCTGTACTCGCGAACTTAAATCATTTAGTACGATTTGCTCATTTTATAGAAGGGTCGGGAAGGGAAGGTAGGGGAAACAGCAAGGAATGAGTATATCAATAATGTGGAGGAACAGCACGACCTTGTCGGAAAGCTTTGGTAGGGGGTAGCCTTGAAATATAAATTGGAGAAGAGGAAGGAAGTACAAAGCTATTTGGTGCTGTAGTCTAGGCGGCTTAGCTGCCATTTCGGGCGGAGGCGTTTGAATCTAGGCCGTCTATGGCTCAGTAATCTCGCTCTATTAGGCTGCTTCAAAGTATTAGGGGGATCCTCCTGAAACAGGTCGAACTTTTCCTTTTTCGTCAACATTTTCGACCACGTCACATTTCACTACTTCCACAGATGCTAGTAGGTGGCTTGCAAGGTAGCCCTTATCCAGGCCTAGACCTCGCATGACGAAAATGCAAGTTTCCTGACGGCTCGCTCAACTAGCACGAATTACGACATGTTGCTTGACTGGGAGTGTATTTTCTTACTTTTTGTGTCACCCGGTGCCGGTGGCTCTTCCTGAAATGAGGTTATCCAATAGATAAGCCTAGATTTCACATCAGGGCATTACTCTTAAGAACAAACATCAAATCACCTTCGATTCAGATGGCATAGTAACATCTAGTGGGAGCTAAAATTTAATCGGTAACAAAGTGACTGGAGATAAAATCTACACAGAGCACATACCTCTTCCTCATTTTTGTCCTTTTCTTTTTCCTCGTCCTTCTCATCCCCTTTCTTCTCTCCCTCTTTCTCTCCTTCTTCATTTTTTTGCTCGTCCTTGTTCTCCCCTTCTTTCTTTTCGTCTTTCTTCTCTTCTTTCTTCTCGTCTTCCTTCTTCTCCTCTTTCTTCCCCTTCTCCTTCTTCTCCTTTTTCTTATCTTTTTTGCTTGAATGTTTCTAAAGTAAATGTTGATGACGCCACGCTTTTTCTAGTCTCCTCCGAAATTGCCTAGCGAGGTATCAGGGGTAGTGGGTCAAATCAGATGAATTTCGTCCATGCCACTATATTTTAATCCAATGCTGTAACTGAATCTTTTCTTGATAATTCATACCTTCCTACTTTTTTTTGTGGTATCCTTTTTCTTCTTGCCACCACTTTGGACAGCGAAATAGATGTAGGGTAAGAATGGCAGGATCAAATAGACAGAAAGGTAAATCATCCTATGTATTGAATGGCAAAGCGTATTCCCTCTCTGCGGAACCTGTAACACGGTATCGTTTAGAAGGAATACCCCTAAAATGCTGTTCAAGATCCTTATGTGGTTGTTGGAAGCAGCCCGTCACTAATCCCAGACGAAAATGTCACGTACCGATACTTCAGGCTGTCAGAGTACGCCCTTGTGCGACAGCTCCAGTCGTTAGCTCTGAAGAAGGAGGCTTAGCCTTCAGATACGCATTCATCGTACTCACGAATTTACTTTAAGGGCTGCGGACCACGATGGTGTTTAATTTTGTCACCACATGTTGTGAGCTTCATTTGGGGCAAAATTTGCTCCTTTGTCTAGTCCGGGTCCATTCTGATAATTTTTCTGGCTGTCCGTCAAAAGTCCTTCGTCAAATGAGAGCTGACTCACCGTTAAAACAGTACCTTGTTTCGCGTAGGTATTCGTAGAAATGGAAGTACACCGCCTGATAAGACTAATACTTTATGAAGGGACGACATACTACCGTCATGATAATACTCGCTAATCAAAAGTGAAGTTTCTAGTATTGTTACTAAAGAGTCTACAGCGGTCCATGTATTTTGGTGGAATTCCGACAAGGCCGGTTGCATGAACAAGAGATCCTTTCTATGATAAGTTGGAGTATTGAATCTTTCCGTATTCGCCTTTGGTCTCCTGGTCAGGAGATTGGAAGGTTCGAACAAGTTGGCTTTCTAATCAACTTCAACTTATGTCTGAAGATAATTTATTTCCTTAATTGTTCAGGCTTTTGCTACTAGCGGAACAACTTGGGTGGTTGGATTGACTTTGTCCTTGTCTGCATAGACTTTCTGTGCATCGATTTCATAATACTGAAAACGAAATCAGCAGCTAAAAGGGAAACAGGGGTTTCTATGAAGAGTTCTGTGTAGTTAGAATGACGAGAAGTACTTTACACAAGTCGGAGGTCTTGCTGTGGGACAACGGCTAGCACCGGTTCTTGCTGTGTGCTTTATGGGCAGAATCGAAGAACCGGTTTTTGAACGGGGTCTTTTAATGTACTGTAGATATATCGATGACTGTTTCATCATAACGTCAACACACTTCGAAATGTACAGTGTTTTCGTACCATGAATGAACAGTCGCAGTACATTAAACTCACCCGAGAAGTTCCACGTGATGGTTGGCTCCCTTACCTCAACACTCAAGTCAATGTATCCAATGGCGCTGTTAGTGTGAAGTGGTACCGAAAAACCAGTTCTAAGAATATCTTACTTCACGCTACATCAGCTCATCCACAAGCTGTTAAACGTGCAGTTGTCAGCAACATGTTGAGAACAGCAACAAGTATCTGCACGGGTGAAGCTGAACGACTCGAATCCCGGCGTTTAGCTTGTGAGATAGCTGCTATGAACGGTCACACGGTGTCACAGGGTTATGGAAAATCTCGCACTAATACGCAGCGTGCTACGCCCCAGAACAAGTTACCACTATGTCTTCCTTTCATCTCCGATAAAGTCAGCAATGCTATAGAGCGGAGCATTTTCAGAGCTGGGCTGCAAGATGTTGTGCTATTAGTTGATATTCCTAATAACAATATCAAGTAGTTATTAGTTCGGAATAGGCTCTACGATAAGCAGTGCATAACAAAAGACTGCAACATATGTCCCTACGGAAGAACAGGTGATTGCGTACTGATAGGCGTGATCTATCAGATAGAATGTCGGACATGTGGGTCAACATAGTACATCGGAGAAACGGGGAGACAACCACCTATAAGAATAGCGAAGACAAGAATAATCATCTGGCCTGACGGTGGTCCCAGAATGGGATGTCATACCATCGTAATCGTTCTTCCTTCTCATAAGTAGGGAACACTTTGAATTGTCTGATATGAGTTAAGGAGGATTGCACATTCACCCCGCGACAACGTACGTAAGCCAGGGCTTGCTTGTTCCGTCGAGGAGAGGAGCGATTCAAACCCAGGGCATACCTAGACGACGAGCCCAGTAATATGGCATGCACAGCTCCTAGCAAAGTATTTGCTCACAAGTACGGGTAATGTTGTTCATCAGCGGGAAGGAACTTGGTGGTTGCTGAGACCGTAGATTATCGCACTGATATCAGAGTCGTTCGGGCAGAGCTGAACAGATGGAGTCAAAGTGCACGCAGAATCGATCTCGGTATTGAGATCCAAATGCTTGCGCGAAGTAGTTGATAAGAGAAGAAGTTTACAAGTTTCATTCCAAAGAAGCACCTCGAAGTGGTCGCTGATGCCTACGCGGGTTAACATCCGTTTATACTTGCGTTGGTCTTCGAATGGGTCGTTCAAAGAACGGGAAGAGCAAAAAGACCAATAGATACAGCCTTTCAGACCATGCAGTCAAAGTCTACCTGCTTTTTCCCTTCTTTTATTCATCAATGAACGGCGACCATATCGCAAGCCCTAGTACTGTTGCATTTCTATGCATGTTGAGGCTTCGGCCAGTATAACATAAAAAAGCCTCTTTTCGCAAGGGAAAATAGCTCTTCTATACATATGAGGAAGATTCCAGCATCATCCCACGAATGCTCCTATATGCGAACTTCTTGCTTCGTTCTCTCTCTCGCAGTTGCCCCGTTTCCCTAGTAAGGCGTGTATCACGTTCCAACTCTGGCTTTATCTTCAAGTTTTCTCAGGTTTATGTTTTTTCTTTTTTTCAAGTTGTTTTTAGAGGACCATCGCCTTGCAGTTCCTGCTTTTGTGTTTTCCGGTACATCCTTTGGTGTACTAATTAAATAAAGAAATATCGAAACAACGTAAAGAAATATCGAAACAACTCATTTGGAACAAAGGAACCTATACCAGCTCACTCATGTCAGAGTCAAAAGGCTCAGGTCAGGCTATTGGGAAATGGGTTCCTGAACTCCCCGTTGGGCTAAAGTAGCCACCTTATCCACAGATTAACCGGTTAAGATTGTCACACACTAGGCCATCGACTGCCAGACTGAGATCTCCTCATGGTCTTTCCATTCTGTGAATTAGAGCTCTAGCCCTCCTTTCATTCCCTCAGTCTTTTGAACTACTGTCAATTTTACGGCGCACCCTTGCAATATTCAATTTTATTGTGTAAAGTCATTAAAAAGCTTGTCCGGGGAGACCATCTCACTTCAGCCTGAAGCACCTATCACATGAACACTTTAAAATTCACAGTGAAGTCACTCCTCGATGAAACACAGCACCTTCTTTTACGTAGTTTTCCGTAGAAATGAAAGCATTCTACCCAGGTCCACTGAATAAATATTCATTTCTGAATACCACTCATATCCCCTTATCAACAAAATGGAAAACTGGTTTGACGGTTTGTTGGTCGATCTGTTAATATCTATGTTTGTTTGTCTGTCTGCCCATCCGACATCAAAATTCCAATCATCGATATCGTCAGAGCTTGGTCAATGATTTGTATTCATCACGAAGAGACAGACTGTGAATGCTATGCTGTAGAAATGTTGGGGTGCCAGCAGACATTATAATGGAAATGAACAGATTCCTAATAGGTCGTTATTGGTGAAGGTACAAATGTCGACAATTTTTAGGTAACCTATTTAAGTTTAGAGTCGCGTTGGTGAAGAAAAATGAAGAAAGCGAAAAACGTTGGTAGAATTCGTGATGTGCAAGGCCCCTTAGAAATTAAGGATTGTACGAGATCACCGTGGCATAAATGGCATGGAATGGGTATTCGACGAGATTGCAGCTGTTCCAACTTTTTAAAGAGCTATCTATATTCAGCCAAAAATGCAAGAAATTCCCTCACGCTATCGCAAATACTTACGGTTGGTTGTTCGACGTTTCAGCATGGGTATGAATTGCGCAGCCTCTACCTTTTGCTCGCCTCGAGGTGGGGGCTAACGCCGAATTTCAATTTAACAGCAGATAACGGACAAATGACAGTGAAGATGGACAGCAGATGTAGTTTTTGTAGGAAGGAGCAGTAAGTGCGGGCTACCATGTCGAACTTGTAAAGCCCACCTAAATAGGGAGACATTCTTTCAGAAATATTTAGTGGTCAAAAGTGAGTTGGATGCTCAGAAAACAGGACTAGGGTGCCAGCCAAGCATTACGACTTTGTAACGGAAAGGAGGGAAAGCGATGTAGGCCGAGCGTTATGTTATGGAGGTAAAGCTCAGAATTGGTGTATCAATGTATACCTACAGAACACACCTTGAGACTAAAAGGTCGGCCGGTAGTAACGGCCTCATCGGTCTTCTGAAGTGCATAGAGTAATGTGAGCTGCGTATTCTAAGCGCTGTTATCTGCATCTCCTCTGAGTTACAAGCTTGAGGAGCTGTCAGGCAGCCGTACACGCTACTAATTTCGGCCCTATTTGACGGCTGTTCGCATTTTATAAGATCATTAGTGAACGGGTTCGGAAGCGAATTTTCCCGAACCCTGTTTACCAGTCAACTTCCAACATGACCCAGAGAAGCAAGCAAGTAATGCAAAAGCACTGTTCATGACTAATAGTGTCATGCTCGTAGACAGAGAATGCACAATATATACACACCACATGGCATTATAATTGTACATGAGTTCGAATTTTGTGATGTAAAAATGTTGTAAGATCCTGTTCAAAGCCCATAAAGTCCCAAACATATCGAAGCTGGGATTGGGATTATTGGGTGCACACTTCCACAAGTGGTGTCACTGTAGCAGTTGAGAAATGCGATGGAGGTGCGACGTCATCCCGCTTACTAATGTGGAAAACCGCTGTAGATATGTACATTTATTATTATCAGGTTGTTTACCGGAAGTGGAGATAATATTAAAAACAACGGTTTTACTGAGTTCACTTATTTTTTGCTATCGCTCCATATATTGTTAAACAAAACACAAAAGTGTGGGTATTACAAGACAGGTCATGACTACCCGATGCAGATTTTTCCAGGCTTTTTTTTTGTGTAGAACTACAAAAATAGGATAGATGACTAGTTGGATTTTGCTTAGTTCAAATTTATTTACCAATCACCTAAGAAAAACATCAATAGTGATACTAGAATGACTTGAATCCCAAACTTGAAATTCTTGATGGATTTGATGACAGTTCTTGGTTCTTCGCCGACTGACTCCATTTCAGATTTTTCTGTTGAACAGTATCGAGGACCGCAGAGTTCCAAGCAAGATGGGCAGACGATTTGAAGTTCGGATGTGTTTTTACCATGTGAATCCTAAACCGAAATGAAAAATCTTGGCCTGCCTAAATCTGCTTCGATGATGTGCCTCTAGTCGCATTGAAGAGAGCATTCTCGTTGCGTCTCAGGTTTGCAGAACAAGCCTGCTTCTTTTCTAACCGGTTCATTATGTAAACATTAATGGTAAAGAAAACACTAAAAGAGTCGGCCCCCTACTATCTCAGTCTCTTCAGTACTATCCTTTGTTAGTTTTAACTAGTCACACGAGACTCACAAATAATAGTCTGGCAAGAAAGTTCAGCGACAAGGCAAAAGTTACTTTGGGTATGTCTAGAATTTTCCATATCAATCGAAACTTTTACATCAGTCGTATTTTAGAAACGTAGTCATTGGAGAGATCAATAGTTCTTTTTTGTCATTTGACAAAATCATTGATGCTTTTGTCGAGAAGTCAAAAAGCTGTGAATCAACGGAATCATCAACTGCCTACTTCAGATCACATCAAACTTTTTTCGCACAAAGGGGTGCTTGAGAAGGCGGAGCACATTTCAATCTTAAGGGGGAACGTTCCAAAGTACAACTTATGAGTAACGTAGAACCAGGCAAGGCCAATTAATTTCAATGGTGTCTAATGCTAAATTTCGACGTGTTTTGTCGTTCTGAGTTGTGGGTTTGGACTTTTTTCCTTAACCGCATTAACCAAATGCTGGGGTTCAAAGGAGTAAGCGACAGCTGTGACTAACTGGTCTGCCTTTGGCAATTCATAGTGGACGGGTCTCTCATGCCCGGCAGAACTATGTATAAGACGTGCTTGCCTCCTTTTGAAATCTAGTATCTCTGCAGCGATGCGGTTCAACCAACTGTTGACCAGTGAACACTGATTTCATCGGATACGTCGCTAGTAATTTTTCAGTCACTACACTCGCGTCTTTCCCTTGACGTGCTTACTAGAGTGCCTAGTAGGAGATGATCTTACGAATCCGGTGTTGTAAATTCACTGGTGGTAGACTTGTGAGTGTCCACGTGCGTGCCCTGGGTGTGAACACTCCTCTAAAATCGCGTCTAGCCGTGGAAGCTGCGTGTCGCAGAAATGCGATTGATGATTGCAGCGCGCAATCTGTGAGTCAGAATTCTCTAATTATTTACTATTACTCCCCACTTTCTTTCTCAATGCGTCTTGATCACTGATCGTTGATAATAGATTAATTTTCGAACCTTCAGTCACAACAAAAGAAAACAAAAATCCAGGGAAAATAAACACCAGGAAAACACATCAAACTAAAAATCAAATGAAAAGTAACAAAGAAATGGAGTTCTAGCAATCAGCGGGGAAGCGGGTGGAATACAGCGAATGAACTTTGAAGCCGCGAGACGACTTTAAAATATTGGCCGCATACCGCAGAGCAGACATGGGAATTTGGAGAGAAGTTCCGCTGTCCACGTGCCCTTGTTGATTCGTGTGATGATTGTTTGGAGAATGTCCAAGAAGTTGATCATCCTTGCTATCATGTGCAGTCGTTTACACAAAGTTTATGAAGCTCCAAATTTTTGTCGCAGAACTTCTTGCCAACCTAATAGATTCAAAATCAATGTCTCTCAGCCGTGCTGAGGACCACGATCACGATGCTCACCGGTCATGGTAGGAGGAGAAAAATGTAATCACTTCAGTACCTTCTCGATGTGTATTATCTGCCCCTCTCGGTAGCACGGATAAAATTTCGACTGTTGTGTTCTGATCATGAGAAGATTATTTTTGCATATGCTCTGAAAGTTAAAAGTTGCCTTTCACGGTGAGAGCTTGATTTATCAGAAAGTTTCCACGACACGCAACAGATGCACGCTGATCGATCTCGTTCCAAGGTGTGCCCATGCAACCAACTTTCATATTCATAGAAATGAGAGCCAGAGCATTTTCCACCCCACAGAAATACACAAATTGACCGATCCTTAGTTGGGGAGATATTCGGTTAGTAAATATTTAGAAGGGGTGCTTCATGACATATTTAATAGGAGAGATGAAGACGGTTTTCATGGCGCATCCACAAAAGTCCCACTGGCTGACCAGGGAAGGGTTCCAACTTTTCATGGAATTTCGTATAGAGACGTAAGTATATCGTTGGGGATTTAATGCTATTTACAAATTAAGGAACTGAAATTGCTGCATGAGTCTACCCAGAAAAGTTGTGAGCCTCAAAGGTCGTTTGGTCAACGCATGGAGAGGTAGTGCCAATTGAAATGCTCAGTTGCCCGCAACCTCCGCAAGGGTCGCCAGTCGCATTGTGGCCCAATATAGTAGCCCTAGCCAGTGCCATATAGACAGTGCCTTCTCATCTTCAACGCACTGTTTGAGCAGATAGTCTAGCAATCTCCAATATTCTAATTGTCATGAAAATCCTTCTGTATTACATTATCGAAAGAGTCACAAAGATGATACTTTGCCCCCTATTCAAGACAGTAATCAGTTTGCCGTACATACCCAATAACCACAGAGTTGTTTTAGAACATATGTAGACGTTTTACACATTGACATACGACAAAAAGTTTGTTTGCAAATTGAGTCTCGTTGGCTCACAGGGATCAAATGAGTAGACTGCTCAACGACGACGAAGTTGTTATTACATATAGAGAAACGGGGCGCTAGTTTGAGCCAAATGCAAAGGAACGCCATAAGGCATTTGTTCAAAGGGAAACACAATTTTCAAAAATGGTGTTGGCGTTGGGGAGCGACACACTTCGCTTGCCTGTAGAGGTAAGAAGTCTGCCGGCGCGCCTCGCCTATCTTTTTGGCGGTTGCGGGCAACTGCGCATATCAGCTGGCACTACCTCTCCATGCATTGACTAAGCAAACGTTGAGGGCTCATAGCTTTTTTGAAAGACTCATATAGCAGTTTTGAATTCTGGATTTGTAAATAGTAAATAAAGTTTATCGGTATACCTAGATCTCTTTCCAAAGTTCTGTGGGAACTTAAAACCCTCCCTTGATGAGATGTCAAAGTCCTACATTTCAGGCTTCTATAAAAGAATGAGCGTTTTGGATATGGCTTGTCCACATAATGCAAATAAAAGAAGTCAATACGGAAAGCGTGTTTCTCTCCACTCAGGAGGCTACAGAGAAGGCCTAGAAGTTCAAAAACAACGTATGGTGTTTCCAATGCTGAACTCTTTGATGATTGCCCAGTTTCCTTTACGGCATTCTGATATCTTATACTGCTACTTTTCAAGCTATTTATTAGAGTGACTGGACAAGCAGGACACGTTAGGAGTTTTGGTGAAGTGTTATCCGAATTGAACCCTGCAGTCAAGAAATTGGAAAACCTTTTATAAATTTCTGTGGTTATCACGTAATAATGAGAAAAGATGATGACAGATGGACAAGGCGAACAGTAGGATCTTCACGATCTAAGGATAGGCCTGGTGCGAGGTGGGGGATGTGCTAGTCGATCCCGCGAAACAGCTGCGAAAGCAGCTGAACGGCTCTTCACATCGCCATCTTGTCAAATTCTGAATCTACCCTAGATAGCGATCGCGAAAGACAGAAGCGAATGGTTTGTTGCTGGTGCTCGCACATGAGTGAAGGCGAGAGTAGAAGTAGTATAAAATGGAGTACTGAAATGCCTGACGAGATTGGCTTTCGAGGTTGCTGTGAACTTTAGTTCAGTTGCGCGTGAGCAGTATATTTACCTATAGTCGGCTCAGTCAGAGGGACCTCCTATTCCATCGTAGATGAGACTGGTCACGCCGCCCACGTTGCGCGCGAAGCAGCCCAATCACATTTCAAGGTGGACACGTTTGGCCCTCGTAAGGGTTTTGCGCTTTAAATTGTCCTACCTGAATTTAAATTTACCACGACTAGGTCTTGGTCATTTCTCAATGGCCTGTTCAAGTTACACTCAAATATCCGCATGGGGAACTGATTCAAATTTAAACATTGTATTGCACAGCATCCGAGGTGGCAAATGGATGCGCCGCGCGACACTTGCGCGGCGAATCGCAGGGCAAACGGTGATAGGATCGAAGCGCATCCGTTTATGTCTTGCCAGGCAGCCCACTGCGTGACCTTTATTTCGTTTTTGTATGTTTCCTTCAACTTTATAGTTTCAAAATTAACTCACTTCGAAACAACCAACAGAATGCATCCACGTGGATTTCGAGATCTCGCTATCCATTTTGACACTTATATTCACATCCATACAACGAGATGTCAGGGAGTGTGTCTGTAGTAGAATCATTTTCAGGCAAGTTCCGGTGAGCTATCTGGCTCTAGCTTTACTCGATTTCACGCCTTCTACTGTTCCGGACTGGATGCCTTGATAATAAAGTATTAGATTGACGATCAACAATAAAGACCTTCGCTTGCTGATTTCAGTATCCTGCTATCATTGAGTGATTCTGGCATGATGTTTTGTATTATTCAAAAAAGATGGTTTGCTATTTTGAAATCTTTGTTTAACTTCTTGATGTGTGAGAACTTTGACAGAAAGCAAAACAAGGAAGGTATCGAAAATACGTCTTTTTTGATGTCAACACAATTTGATAATTTGAAAATTGGTATAGACTAGCTCGAAGGAAAAATACCGCATAGATTTCGATGGAAGAAAGCATCCTCATCTTGCCTGTATGACAATACTATGCCACAAATATGGCTTTGAGTAAAGGAATATTGTTGCGCACCCATTATTCAGATATCGTCTCCACAAGTGAGTTTTATGCTTCACAACGGGATGTCATATGATTATAGGGACCTTATGTTAGTTCGGTAGAACCCACAGCAGGCATCATGCCATTCTTGGTAAAAAGATGTAGTCAGACTTTCCAAAGCGTATACTTCTGGTGCCCAAGCGCACCTTTTTATCGGTACCTCTATCTACGTGTTCTCGAAGGACTGACCCAATTTTATTTTCAAACGGGTAATGGCTACTCACCTGGAATGGATCTTCTTCGAGTTTCGTAGTTACAGGATGTGTACAAATGGGAGTCACTTTTGCAACGAAGGCAGTGCTCTGAAAATAGAATTGAAATCTCTCAGTATAGGTTAGTTTTGAGGTTTCGGAGGTTGTGTTCCGCGGGGTAACAATTAAATAAGGTCAGATATCATTGGAGCATGATAAATCTCGCTAGTTTTCCATCGTCGACTCAAAACTCGGATTGGATCAAAGTGTTTCGAAGTGTTTATAGCTAGTTGATATGATTATGAAAGAAGTAGAAAAATCAGCGTAACTCACCATGTAGTAAGGGCAAAAATCTGCTGTCTTCACTTTCCCAAATCCTACAACTGACTGTCCTTTTCTGTCATAGAAGAGATTTTTAATATTGTAGTCGTACTCTGACGTGATATTTTCGAAGGAGATTTCGCTCGCTGGCACAAGGTTACATTGTAGCTTCTCAAGTCGCTTTGCAGCACACCTGCAAAGACAGATAGTGATTACACATTGCATGGCCGCAAGTGGGACCTCTTGTTGTAAGACCTATCGAAAACCGGTTTTCTTCCCAACAAGCGAACATCGAGTATCTGTTAAACCTGGATGCCTATACAAAAAGGCTGATTAACTGGTTTCAACTGTAGTAAGGTGCCGCTGTAGCCTTGATGAGCCTCACCATTTAAAGCGTTGAAAAATTGGCGTATAGTTAGCTTTTGAAATGGGTGGTCACCTATCATTATAGAACCTACAATATGTCAGGAGTTTTTCCACGTGTCAGTGTCCCAAGTTATCCAAATACAGCGTCGGAACCTGTCCAAATGCCGTAAGGTAATAGTAGGCCTAATCCTTCCTTCAACAGGTAAGTGCGTTTCAAATGTATGTGCACCCCCCAAAACATTTCATTTCAAAAGTGACCAAGGAACTTATCGTAACGAAGCCATTCTCAAACGACTCCTAGTAGTCGATAACCTTTACAGGGAAGTTGGGCAGATAATACCGCTGTACATTCGATTTTTCAGATGTATCATCATGCCAAGTCATGCTGATCCCAAGTCATCATCATGCCTATCCGCGGCAGACTGCTTTCTAACGAAAAGAGCTCAAATTCTGGCTCTACTTGCTGCTGGACGTTCCAGTCGAGAAATCGCACGGCAACTGAGCCTCACTTTTTCCTGCATTGCTAAATTCATTCGAGTCCCTGGCCTACCACACACAACTAATTCCTGGCCGTCACCGCATTTTGATCGCTCAGGACAACAGGAGATAGCCCGTCTTGTGGCGAATATTCTTTGTCTGTGAATCAGACCGAGTTCAGATGGGGTTATCAGTCTCGCGTACGACCGTTTGGCGCTCTATCCGCTCCAATGAGTATATCACACGAGAGACGATGAAGAAGGCTCCTCGACTCAGTACTCCCCACAAGCTGACAAGGCTCGAGTTCGCTAGGAGGAACACGGCAACATCATGGGATAAGGTACGGTTGTTCGAGAATTTTCAGGATTTTCCTGTTCGAGAACAAACAACCTGTTGTACCCATTTTGTTCTTAGGTGATCTTCACTGATGAAAAAAAGTTTAAACTTGATGGGCCGGATGGATTTCGTCATCACTGGAGGGACCTTCGCCGAGAGCCACTCGTGTTTTCGAGAAGGAATTTCGATTTTGAAAAGGTTCTTCGATGGTCTGGGGCGGTTTCGCAAGCAGCGGAAAGTTAGAGCTTGCATTCCCATCATTGCGTATGGATAGTGAGGAAAACCAAAAGTTTTTCGATACCACCTGTTGCCTTTCTTGAGAAAGAGTCGGAGAAGAACCCACTTTTTCACAGGACAACGCGTCGGTCCATATTTCACAATCGACCAGAGAATGGCTACAACGCAATGGTGTTCGAGTGATAGATTGGCCGTCGTATTCTTCTGACTTGAACCCTAGGGGGAACCCATGGGGGATCATCGTTTCTCAGTATTATCTATTGATTTCTGATCTCGGTTCCATTTTTGTTTTTTGTTAGGTGTGCACATACTTCTGAAACCCACCCAGCTCTATAGGAGCTAGAGTAGTCGATCGACATTCGATCTTCAGGGAAAAACAGCGATTAGCAAGTTCTTGAATATGGCGGATACATGAAGGAGCAACGTGAATGTTAGGCAGTAAGAAGTAGTTATTAACATTGCATCAGCTCTAAAACATGAAGTTCATGCTAATCTTGTGTAAAAACGTCACGACGTAGGCCTGGAATTCGACCATGGGACTACGGCGTTTGAACATAGCGACAGAATCTATCCTGCAACCAACCTCTTTATTCATCGCCCCGGAAGAAATTCAAAAAAACGACTTTAGAAGGTCTAACCGCCTAACTTTTGCAGCCAATAAAAAATGCTCATCACCTATCTCCTCCGTAAACAGTGCAGAACGGATAAGGATCTGATGGATTCAATTTTATCCAGGTCAAACAGCTCTTGGTAGCAAAGGTGCAACCGAGGTTCTTTCCAAACTCCAGATCTTCGGCATTACTGGAACGACAAGACAAATTCGAGAAAATGAGCTCCTGAAAAAAGTGGCCTGGCATCAATTGCGAAAAAGTAGGGCCCACTCGTAGTTCACTTTGTACCATCCGGAGTCTTCAAGTAATGCCAGCGACAGGCGAGATATAACGGGCATATCCTTTGCTTCGGCAGTCATTACCTCATTCTTAAAAAAACGAGTTGGATACTGAAATTTGATCGTGCTCATCCTCCCCCCCCCNCCCCCCCCCCCCCCCCCCCTCCGTTTTTTCGCTGAGGCTGTGCAGTTACTTTCGCATAGACCTCTGATTACCCTGTGAGGTCGATTCTTAGGCATTTAGAACTTTTGTTCTCCATTCTAGGTATATTTGAAAAATGTTGTACATCGGAAGTGTAGTGGACGTAGAGCCAGTGGGTTCACATGATCTAGAGATTTATATTGATGGTGGACCACGCGTTCTCCAACTGAGTCTGCACCCATTTCCCTAGTTGTTTGCTGGTAAACCGCATTCGTGAAATTTTTCAGTTCGAATGACTATCCGAGTTAGTAATTCGGAGGATGCCGAAGTGGTTCAAGTACTCTGCCAAACTCTAGCTTTCAAAACATGTACTGAGGTGATGCCACTTAGCATGTATAGAATGTTAGTCTCTTACTCAATTTTAGGCCTCTCCCATAGCTTTTGTCAGCTCATTATTCAAACCCCTAATACCAAAAGCTAAGTGAAGGAAACACTTGGCTTCTGGTATTAGGGTTTGAATACTAGTTCAAGTTCTACCCCGAAGACGCGCTTTTCCCAGTGACTGCCACGCCCTTCATAAGAATCCTGATTTTCAAGCTCTGCTCCCTCTAGTGTAGAACAGTTGAAGTGCCGTCGAGCTTCTTCTCGAACTTTTGGTGTGACCATCATATGAACGTTGTGTTTCACCTGAAATTGCTTCTTCATTTTTGTTTGTTATGTTTGACCTAGATGAAGGTTTTGGTCCCATTCATCTGATAAATGATAGTAAAGAAGAGATATTTTTCTTCGAGACTACGCGCTTTCACTCACCGTTCCTTTTGAAGTCTCCCAATCGAAGCGCGTGAAACGGTGAACAACATTAGGAATGACGACTCCAAACTTGTCCCTATTGATAAAAAGGCTTCTCAGTTGCTCCCGATCCGTACCGCAAATATGTAATTACACATTCAAAAATTACGGCTGTTATGGTTAAGTTGCTAGCATTTTATGCGTGAGCTTTGACTCATGAGCGTTTTAGCCGCAATAGTTGAATGTGGCCTCGAATTACTACAATGCAGAAACATCATTCAATTGCTCCTACCATTGAGGTTTTCCTGCTCCTGGGTAAAATGGGAAGAGCCCAACTGAGAACGATAATGCATGAATGATTTCGTGTATGACAACGCGTTGCCACTCATCGACTAGTTTTTGTGTCGATTCCTTCAAATTTTGCGGACATATATTCAGAATACCGAGTATTGGCCTAAAATCATGTACTGTGTCGGGCTTCTATTTCATATTTTATTATAGCTTCCTCTTCCAGAAAGACATTCTAAGTTTTCGCTTTAATTACAACTTTCAGATGTACCACAACAAACGCTCTGCAGTTGATTGCCACCAATTATCCCTAAATCAGAGAAACTGCTGCGTCAATAAAACCGAAAGACTTGAGTACACATAAAGTCAAATGTTGCGCAATTTAAGTCAGCAATGCCATACATGAGGCTAGAGAGTTGTAATGTAGTACAGGGTGGGCCAAAATTATGATTACAC